CGTTGACAAAGTGATTTTACTGTCTGCATACAGTGCTTATATACAGTACCTGCATAGAGGGTGTGTGAGGGCTGGTGTAAAGTTTTGCAAATTAGATATTGCCGAGGGCAGTTGAGTGGGGTATGTAAAGACTGGAGCAAGCGAACACAATGCTAGATGGCAAAGGTGGAGATTGAAAAATAGCTATAAGTGTCAGCGGAGGTAAGTATGTTTGGAAATACATTTTCAGATTAGGAAAATGATAACTTATATTTGTGTCCCCTTGTCCTGCTATTCTCACTGTTAAATATGAAAGGAAAAGATGATGCATCAACACTATCAATTCCCTTTGCAAACTTAAACACCTCAATCAGATCCCCCCCCAACTCTTCTTTTTTCAAGAGAAAACAGTGAGAGATCTCAACCTCTCCTCATATTACAATTCCTTCATTCCTGGCACCATTCTAGTAACCCTGCTCTGAACCCTTTCCAACAATTCAATGTCCTTCCTAAGGTAAGGAGCCCAAGACTAAACATAATATTCCAAATGTGGCCTAAACAGTGACCTATACAAGGAAATTATAATCTCTTTAGACTTAATTCAATATTTCTGTAGATACAATCTAAACTCTTATTTGCCTACCACTAGCAACAGCACACTGCTTGGATGGCTTAAAAGTCTGATCAACCATTACACCAAAATCTCTTTCTCTCATGACACTGTTAAGGTTATTCTCATCCAAATTATGATAACCCATATGCATTATATTACATTTATTATAATTAAAACCCATCCACCATTTATTAACCCAACTTTCTAAATGATCTAAATCCTTTTGTAAATCAGCAGCATTCTCTTCACAGTTAGCAACACCCAAGACCTTAATATCATCTGCAAATTTAAGTAATTTATTGACCATTCCTTCATCAATGTCATTAATGTAATTCAAAAAAAGCAAAAGTCCTAAGATTGAGCCGTGAGGTACCCTACTTGTAACATTAATCCACTTTGACTGAACTCCATTTATAACAATCCTCTGCTTTCTTCAATCCAACCATTCTTCTATCCAATTTCCTAACTTTTCCCCTACTCAAATAATTTTTTTACAAGCCTTTTATGTGGCACCTTGTCAAATGCTTTCTGAAAATCCAGATACAAATCCAAATTTACATCCTTACCCTTATCTACTTAAGCAGTAACCTTTTCAAAGATTGGATTTTATTGGATAGCCAACTTTGAAGATATTCCTATTTAAAGATGTAAGAATTAATTAAGAACATGCAACCCCATTTTAAAAATTCTTTTTGACAAGCCTTATTTGTCACTTAAAAAGATCCATCACCCATTAATGTTATTTTGTTATGGAGAAATCACCCAGTCTCAGTTTTTACTTATTCAGGAAAATCCTCAAGCATTCTGGAACATGATGTATCATCTTTAATATTTCTTTAGTTTTTACCATTGTTGTAAGGTTTATTCTGATCTGTAAAAAAAGAAGACTGAAATGGTAATTATTAGCATGGTGATCACAGTAAATAGTTGTGACACAGACAGTGAGTATAAAAGTGTGGAGGTGATAATAATGGATAACTAATTTTTCACAACAGTCAGGGTACACTAATTTTTACAATATTCAGGATACACTAGATTTTACAATAGATAGGATATGCTAGTTTTTAGAACATATAGGATACACTAGTTTTTACAACAGTCAGGATACACTGGTTTGTACAACAGTCAGGGCGCACTAACTTTTACAACAGGTAGGATACACTAGTTTTTACAATAGATAGGATATGTTAGTTTTTAAAACATACAGGAAACACTGGTTTTTACAACAGTCAGGATACACTGGTTTTACAACAGTCAGAATACACTGGTTTGTACAACAGTCAGGGCACACTAACTTTTACAACAGGTAGGATACACTAGTTTTTACAATATTCAGAATATACTAAATTTTACAATAGATAGGATATGCTGGTTTTTATAACATAGGATACACTGGTTTGTACGACAGTTAGGGTACACTACTTTTACAATATCTAGGATACACTAGATTTTACAATAGATTGGATATGCTGGTTTTTACAACAGTTAGGATGTACTAGTTTTTACAACAGTCAGGATACACTAGATTGTACAATAGATAGGATACCGTAGTTTTTACGACAGTCAGGGTATACTAATTTTTACAACAGTAAGGTTGATTAGTTTTTACAACAGTTAGGATGTACTAGGTTTTACAAAAGTAGTGATATAAAATTATAATAATAACAAGCAAATCATAAATAGCTTTTACACTGTCATTTAACAAAACAGCTGTTATTTAGAAAAGTATCTATTGTAAGTTGTGATTACATATTTGAATAATTGTATGACAAATAGTTGTGTTTGTTTATTTTAGGATTGAAGCAAATCACCTGGCAACAAGAATGGCTTCTCTTTTAACCGAGGTTCAGTTTTGGACCTTCAAAGATTTATTAATAAAAGGTAAATTATACAATGACAAGGATAGATGAAAGTGGGTACAGAATGACTCTCATGTTGGACTAGTACTTTATTTGGATTAGTAAAGGATTTCAAGTTGTGGCCAGCACAAATTGGAGTTTGTTTAAGGTTTTATTGAAAGATCCTTAAATTAAGGATTTTTTTCAGCTACTTTGAGCCATAGGTTTTCATCTTTTAAGGGTTTGTTTTATTTCAGTAAAATGGAACTTGAAATTTTTTTATGATTGGTAATTGTGGAACAATTGAAAGTGTAGTATTTTCATAGCTCGTGGATACTTTCTTACTTTAGGTTTGACGGTTCATTACCGATGAATTCAAAACATGTAAACTGTTTTCCTTGTAAGGAATTTTAGTTTCAGTGTTTAAAATTAAGGCAGTACTTATGACACACTTTAGCATGTGACCTGCTAATAACTGTTGTTATCCTAAGACTTTTCAAATAACTGAAACTTCAGTGACAAACTCCTGCATTAATTTATCAATTGCCAATTATATTTACAATTACCACAAGGGAATCTTTATAACATTTTTGTATATTGTTATTTATCAGTATCCATTAGCTATTTACAATTACCACAAGGGAATCCTTATAACATTTTTGTATATTGTTATTTATCAGTATCCATTAGTATTTACAATTACCACAAGGGAGTCCTTATAACATTTTTGTATATTGTTATTTATCAGTATCCATTAGTATTTACAA